AAAAAAAGCCACAAGACGGAAAGTATTCGCAAGCAACGCAACTGCAGAATGAAAAGGGCTGGTTTGGGTTTTAGCATTTTGAGGAATTTTTGGCAGTGCATAGAAGAGTCAGATGCTCTGCCTTTCTCTGCCTCTTTTTTTTTTTTTTCTTTTTTAATTGAGATAACAGCTGCACAACTCGGGGCATACTTAAGTTTCTACAAAAGCCCCAGGTGTCTTATCTTCAAAGGAAAAATCTTCTTTCTCTCTCTGACTGCAGCGCTGGAGCTGAAGGATATGCTGCTACAAGACTCCAGCCCATGCTTAGCTCACTGTCACTCACTTGCCGTTCTGTTTTAAATTCAAGAGTGCCTGGCTCATCTGCTGGGAAGTAACGTAACAAAACGGCGATGAGCTTTCTCAGAAAAGAAATTGTTTGCAATAGACTAAGCCAGAGCGTTAAGAACTGCTCTTCTGTTGCTACGGCACTGGTCTGCAAATAGTCTGCCAAAAGGCACGAGGGCTCCTTGCAGAGTAACCTTCCACTCACTGGAAGGGAGCTGCAATAGAGAAGAACTTATCCTTTCTTTTTCCCCTCACTTTCTACTTACTCTTTTCATCTGTGATAACCTATTGTTGAGATTTAGGCTATAACTGGGTTTGTTTGTGTCCAAATAATACGGCAAAGCTTACGTTACAGGAGAACTGAATTTCTCACAGCGAGATCTGCCCTATGTGCATCATTTACTGACGTATTTTACTAAAAACTGATTCCTCTCACTACTCGCCCAAACTCGGTTAAGCATATTGCATATAAATATTTACCTCCAAAATGTATATTTGGTATTACCTCTGTGGGAATCAGTTGCAGAACTACCTACGCAAATAAATCCATTTTTACCTTGTGCTAGTTTTAGCAGTAGTACTTTTATCCAGCTGCTTGGATTAGCATTATATTGATTGTCCTTCCCACACCAAACCTCTCGAGTACACAAATGAGCATCAAAGTCGATGGCACATAATGTTTCACTTTGGAAGGGAGCCGCAGCTCCACATCTAACCTACGTACAAAGACATCGCTATCCCCGCTCTCTTCCAGATGTTTAAATCCTTCAAACAAACGAACAACAATCCACTATGTACACAGCAGCAAAAGGAAAACAAACACAACAATATATGGCTGTATTCTAAGGAATGAGGTGGCTTCTACAGCATACAAATCAGAGACCAAAAATAGATACAGCAGAACACTGCTTTGTTCAAATCGGATGAAGGGCACTCCATTTCTGTGGATAATACAGCCCGGGAGAGCAGAGGAGCACAACTCTGGCTGAGCTTCCGCCGAGGGCTCAGATAGACGTGCGTCTACCCTGTTAAGTGAAACAACTACTTAGATAAACTTGTGGCAATATAATTCCATCTAATTTCATTTTCCACCTAGCTTACTTGCTTTTCTGCCTCTCACTTGCTGTGAATTCAATAGGCCTTGCAAAATGTTACTATACTGGATTAAACCCTTGCAATTTTTTACTCTTTGATTCCTCGGCAGTACTGGAGACTTTATAAACTGTACCCCGATGATGCCAGTATGTCAGCAGCTGCAGAATAACGTTTCATCTGCTTCTCTTCCTAAAATCCTCAACTAGTTAATTGACTGAACCCAAGGAGCTGCTTTGTCAACCTTGGATACGCCAGACCATGCTGCAAAAAGCAGTACTTTGCTTCCTCTTAAAATGCTGAATCCCAAGAGGAGAAAAAGAAAAAAAAAGGCCTCTTTCTGTCTGTATGGTGAAATATTACACCTATAGAAGTCAGACTATTTTTATGCCACTCTATCAATCTCAGTAACCAGTACTAGATTCAGAAGTCGACACATGCACAAAACACATGGGAGAGGCATCATTCCAGTTTCCTGAAAAATTTCAGATTAGGGTAACAGAGGCTTTCTCTACACCTCTTCCTCTTTCCTACGATTCCACCTGATCAAATGTTGATTTATGATAAAACAAATAATTTTCAACAAGGGTTATCTCCACCCATAATTACAGAGTAATACTTCACATTTACATTGTGCTGTACATCCACGGACATCCTTGACTTCACGGCATTCATTAATTCAGCCTGAGCAGCTCTTGGGTATGAAGGTAAAAGATACAACCCATGCTTCAGAATTAAGAGTGAAGAAGAGAAAGGTGATGTGACTTGCCCAGGACACGCTATGAGGAGGTGGCAGAGACGTAAAGAGATTCCAGGACCTCCACCTCCCGTTCCAGCGCACTACCGAAGGGATGCTGCAGGGACTGGGTAGTCGGGGACTCCTCGGGCCCGGGCGGCCAGAGGGCGATGCAGAAGACAGAGCTCCTCGCCAGGGCTTGCGGTGTGGCCGTTCCTCTGTAGCCACTTGTGAAAAGAGTTGCCGCAATACAGCACTGCTTCAAGATCGAGAGGCTAAGCGGCACAGATTGCTTGCTATTGGTCATGGAGAGGGATAAGAGCACTGACCGGACTAATTGGGAGGGAGGGGGGGACAGGGGATTGGCGGGGGCCCTCCCGTAGGCTCAATAACGAGCACTACAAGCTTCTTAAATAGAACAACTGCACTCAGCACATTTACAGAGCTGAGACTGTAAAGTACTGTTACGTTAATTCATCTAATCCCAGCATGCCGTGCACGGTGCTAATATCACTATTTCGCTCACGTGAAACCCGCAGCTCAAAGGTTATGTGATTTAATCAAAGCCGCACAACCACCTCAGTGTGGAAGGCACATCCAGCCCTAGATCCTGCCCCCTCCCTTCCCCTCCAACGTCTCTCCTCATAAAAACAGGCCTGTCTCTACTAGAAACCGTTCTTTCATCTGTGGGGCCCACATCCTGCGGGTGACGGCATGGTAAGTCCCGGAGCCATCACGGTGCCAAAGACATAGGGGAATTCTGCTCACCTGGACTTACTTGCTATCTTGAGGCCTAAAACAACATACAGGTACTTGAACATACGCTGACAGCCCAAGAGGATTTATGCTGTTATTACAAGACAATGTTAGCATACAGATCCAGGACCTCATAGCAAAGAAGGCTTTTAAAATAATTACCAAGGGTAACTCTGTAGTTACCTCCCGGTGTGCCTGGGAGCTGTGCTTTAAAGACCACATTGCTGTCCCTAGGAAACGTTAAAAAAAATCCAGGCAGACCTTCTCAAGCATACACTTGGTTTCAAAACAATGCAATTTGCTGAAAAAAATTAAAAAAAAGAGAAGAAAACCCTACATTTTATTTGCATAATGCTATGTTAATTTTTATAGTACAATTGTATTGTCTTCTTACAAGTTTCTTATTGACCTTGATGAGAGCGGAAAGGAAGCAAAAAGTAATGTTCATGAATGAGAACATTAAGAACTTCACTATATATGAAATTCATAATAAAGCCGCTAATGCTGTAACTGCTACGGGTCAACGTGTCTTTGGCTACACCGTTCTGCTACTGAAATGACAAGTTAACACTGCAGCAATATTGGTGCCAGCGGGAGGATATAATCAGCAGGAGAATTTGCTACCTCAGCTTTATTCACCAGAGCTTTGCCATGTCAAAAACAACTCAATAAATATAAATTTTAATTGAGGAAACAGAAAAAAAAAAGCGCCTGCTGCTTCACTTTCTCTCCCCTCCTCTTTTGGAGGAGAGCGCAGAAATCCCTATGGAAATGCTGAATGGTGTATGCTCTGCAAGTGAAGAACAAAGAGGTAAAGTGTATCTATGGCAGAAAGGAGTTAAAAACCTCCCTAGACAAATGCACTTTAGTTTTTCATAAACCACACCACAAAACTTAGGGCATGCCTCAACACATGCCAAAGCTCAGGAATTAGTCTTCTGAAAAACCACACTTCTTAAAGGCACAGCACGTCCTGCTGCGCCAGCAGAGGAGGGGCAAGGCGGAAAGGAAGGAGGAGATGCGATTATCAGGAAAAAATAAAAAGAGCGGAGGGGGAAATGAAGTTGCAAACCTTATGACTCATCAATTCCTGTGCTACAATATCCACATAAAGCTCCTTTATCATCAGAAAACAAAGAATAAAGAGAATAAAGAAAGTATGAAACCAAACTGGCACTATTTACACCCTTCCCCCTCCATCCCACTGACTCTCTCCAACCTCTGGAGATAAAGGCACTCTCAAGGACAGTTTCTGCCTGTCGTTTATTGAGGCTGGTCACAGGACAGCCTTGGGTTTTGCTAGTCCTTTGCTTTACTTCTGCCCTCACCAGAGCCAAGCACTGATATATAGGAGAGGACCTGGGCTTACTGGGCCATCTCCCCAGCCTCTGAAACACCTCCTGTGTACTCCTGTACTTCTGCAACCTGTGACCAATTGTGCCCGCATGACCACAGTTGCCTCCCTTTAGACAGAGCTG